TGTGTATGTGTGCGAGTGTGTGTGTGTGTGTGTGTGTATGTAAACATTGCACTTTAAAATGTAGTTGCTGTTGTTGCTGCATAAAGACTAATAGTTGACGGGACGTCGACCGCGTGGCTTAATGCGTTCCGATATCTGCCACATCTCCTCCTCGCCCATGAAATCCTTAAAGTTATCAAAGAAGCCAATGATGCGCTCATTGCGTCGAAATGGATAGGCGCTAGAATACAAATGGGCGCATATTATATACATGACATACATATATATCTATAAATAAAATTGTGCGTGAAATTCACCATTTCTTGAAACGCTTCATATTGACAATGATGTTGTATTGCTGCCAGCGTTTCGAAAAGTTAATAACACCCTTGGACACATAGTCCTGATTGCCCACATGCACAAAGGTCAGATCCTGTAGTACCAGACCGCTGCAGGGTAGACAAAATAGATGCAATATCAATTGATATATATACATTGTATATATAGAGAATGGCATCATTCGATGGCTTACATGTAGGGAATGCAGGGTGGATTGGTTTCGGCAAGCGCCTGACGATAGGCCCGAAAACTGGAACTCGAATCGATGAGCGCACAAAACAAGCGCACCTCCTCCGCAATGCCCTTCTGCCATTCCAGTCTGCAATTGGTAAAGGCCTGTTAATAATTGCAATCTTGTTAAATTGGCGTAATTGTGTAATTACCTGCGTATGGGGCCCGAATCGAGCGCTGAGAGCAGCGCCAGATATGAATTGTAATTGTTCATTTTGCGTAAATGCTTCATGATTTTAATAAATTTATTCACATGCTTTTCACGCTCTTTGGCGTCCTGTAGACGCAAGATTTTGGAGCGCGCCCAATAGGACATTTTATTAAAGTGCTCGGTGAATTTATTGAGATTGGGTGATTTCTCCTCGCACTGATCTTTGGCAAATAATAATACTTCGGGTATCTCGATTTTCTGAAAAAGCTCCGCATCCAGCAATGTCATCTGCTCGGCTATTTCCAATGACTTCAAGTCGAGCAGACTGGGCTGATTTGTATTGCTGCCGCTGCCCAATTGATCGGGCACATAGGCATAGCTCCTTTGATCCTTGTATAGCGTTACCTTCTCCACAAACTTGTTGCGCAGCAGCTTGGCCAAATACAGCTGGCCGGAGCAGACCAGCTGATAAACAAACTCAACCAGCAAACTAAGCAGCTGGCTTGTCAGATCCGTTGAGCTGTTTGTCAAATCGAATTTAGTTGTCCGTGAATTGAAATGCAATTCTTTTGGGCTTATTATATAGCTATTATATAAAAACACTTACGTCAGATCATTGACGACCCGCACCAGCAGCGAGAAGGTCTCCTTGGCGGCCTTCTGCTTCTGATCGTGCACCTGACAGAAGAAGTATGTGTAACGATGGGTCAGCTTCTCGATCACATCGATCGGCTGAATGAAGGTGCGGAAGGTTGTAATGAACGCCTCGCTGAATGCTGCATGGGCGAAATGAACAACAAATGGATTTTGGTTTAAATGACGTTTACGGTTACTAAGAACGCTGCTAGAAGTTTTATTGCGATTGCGATTGCGACGATGATGCTGATGATTATGATGATGATGATGATGCCTACCATTATCAGCGACCTTTTGGACGCGACTCGCGTGCACGATCAGCGCATCGATGTAGCCGCCCTTAACTTCTGGGCCATCCTCTTCCTTCTTTTTGAGTATTAGGTATGGCGTTATGTCGATCTCTTCCAGCATGTTTGGCAATTGATTATCGACCTCACCCTCGTCGTCCTCCTCCTCATCCTCCTCCCCGTCGATGTCCTGCTCCTCATCTTCAGCAAGCTCTAGCTCGCCTGGCTGCAGCGCCTGCTCTTCGGCCCCACCTTGCTCCACATCGCTACTCTCCAGCATTTTGGGTGTGCTTATGGGCGTGGCCAGCTGCTGCTCGCCAGGCCCAGCTTTTGCCGACTCGCTGGGCAGCTGATGTGAGTGACAATAGTAGGTGTGGCCGCTGGCATCGTTCACGTTTTCATTGCTATCCAACGCGGCGGCAGACGCAGCTGCTGCGTTTGCCTCATCCGAGTGTGTTGACGGATCGTTGAGCTCCTCACAGACGGTCGTCATGCGGCAGCCCCTTAGAGTAGCATCGCTGAGCATTGGCTTCGGACTAGCCGGTGGGGTTGTAATAATCGCTGCTGGCATTGCTGTCGCTGCCGATCCCGACGTCATGGTAGTTGACGGTTTGCGCTGCTTGTATTTCTTGGGCGGCAACGCTGGCGGCATCTCCTGCTCCGGCGACAGATCCTTGCTAACGGACATTATGCTGCTGGCAAACATGATAATGAACATAAACATTTAGTTCTGTTACTGCAACTACAATCTCGAGCACTCACTTCATGGTCTGACTATGCGACATATTGCGGCTGATGTTGTACGCGTGCATTGTATGCCGATGCTGCTCCACAGAGTGCGAATTCGCCGAGCAGACCTCCATGTACGCCAGTACTGTTGGTTGTTTGCGCACAACGGGCGGGGCGAGAGAGAATTAAGAAGAAGAAGAAAAAAAAAACAAAAAAAAAAACAATTTTAATGCACCTGTCACAACAAGCCAAACAAAAACAAGCGCAACGCGCCAGCTGACAACAGTTCCAATCAGTGACTGGAGGGGATCTGCGCTCCATTTGGCACCATGTGCCATATTGAAACGGGGCTAGAGATGGGCGCAATGCGTTATATATTGACTCCGATTCCTATTCAAGGTTCGAATCCAAGTCTTACTTTACACATACAAAATTAGGTTACGCGAAGTGAACTTTAATCTAAAAATTTAAAACTAAAATAATAAAAAAAAAAAAACATGCTTGTTAATTTACAAAGAAACAAATACCAAGAAAAATACAACATTTCGTTCAATAACAATATTTAAATATCATAGGATGGTAGGGAGTTCACGAATCGAACCGTCTACAACTCTTTTCAGAGTTCTAACTTGACGCTCGCTTAAATTGTTCCGATTTGCGCCCATCTCTGTGCGCTGCCCGGTGTCGAATCCAAAGCGCCAACTGAGAATATGCAACAGGTAAGCGCGTATATAAACAATAAAAAATAAAAAAAATTATAGCCAGGGCAGACGGGAACCAAAGAGGAACTAGTTCCACGTCGAAGGCGCAACACAACAGCAACAGCGTAACAGCTAGCAGGGCTGGCAATGCGTAACGAATACTGTATACCCTTTCCAGTTTTTAAAAACCTAGCTCAAACAACAATACATTTATGTGTGTGGTGGAACATTTGGAAATAAACGAAATAGTAAGTGAAAAACACTCGGGAACTAAGCCTAATAACTGAAAAATCTTTAAGATCTTAAGTCAATTCCACGCGTTTCTCTGGAACCCAATTTCTAACCAAACCAAATATGTTTTTTTTTTTTTTTTTTTGTTAATTGGAAAGGATATGCAATTCGATTCGAAGCGTAACAAAGGCAAACAAACATGTTGAACAGAAACATATATGTATATAGAAGAAGAAGGAGAAGTAGAAGGAAAAAACAAACGAAAAAGAAGGCGAACAGCTCCAGAGCAGCTAGACTTACCCGAGAATGCGACACTTTGAAAATCTAGATGTTGATTGGAACGATAATTTAGTTGGGTTAGAGTTTTTCGTACAACAATTTGGCAAGGTTTTTTTTCGTATTGCCCAACACTGGCAATATTACGAGTGCTATAAATAAAAGTTTTGCTACAAATTCTTAAACTGCCTAACTACAAAAACAAATATACAAATATATATATCAAATATATATATATATATATAATGTATATATAGATGGATTTGTTGCTGATTGATTGACTGATTGATTGATTGACTGATTGTTGTTGTAGTTGGCTGATTGTTGTTGTAATGCTGCCTGTTGCCGGTTGTTGTTGCCGTCGTTCGTCTGCGCAGGTGGCAGGTGGGCTGCATCTTTGCCTCTCTTCTCTTTACTATACGTTTTTTTTTTAGTTTTTTGTTTTCTTTTTTTTGTTTGTTGTTTGTTTTGTGTGTGTAGCGTGTCCTTGTTGTGAATGGATGCGAAACAACAAAGCAAAACAAAACGCAAAACGCAAAACGCAAAACGCAAAAAAGAAGTGCAACAGAAAGTCATGATATATGATTGAAGAAATTGTGTTTACACAGGTGTGTGTGTGTGTGTGTGTGTGCGTGTGTGTGCGTTAGGCATTTAAGCATATCACAGTTGGCACACACACACACGCACACACACACGCACATTCACCCACAAGTAAAGCTAACCTTAAAAAAAACACTTAAAAACTCACCGCTTGGCATTGCCTGTGGCGACACCTAGCGTTCAAGTTTGGCAAACAAATGAAATACATGCAAATTGTTACACACCCACATACACACGCACATACATGTATACACCGATGCAGTTTACCAAAAAAAAAAATATATATATATATCACAAAAAATAGAGAGAAAATACAAAAAAAAAAAAAAATAAATAAATACAAATAAAATAATAATAATAGTAACCAAATGTAAATATATATATATATATATATATATATGTGCGCATTTGGCAATCTGTGCTTACTGTGCTTTCTCGGCAGCGGCGGCGGCTTCTCCAAATGCCTGTCAAAGGCGCTGCTGCAGCTGCTGGGCAAATGGGCGCTCCGCGGCGGCTCAATGAGACTGTGATGCTTGGAATGCCACTGATGCAGCTGCGTGGACGACGAATGATGCTGATGATGTGGCGACAATTGACGCATCTCTGGCATTTCGCTGTAATGCAAGCAAAAAGAAGTAAAATAGAAAAGAATTCAAATACAATAGAAACTAAAATATTCAATTGCAAAGTGCTCTTATTGTTCTCAACGCAATCGTGCTGGCAACGCCACACAAACTGGCAAACTGTTCCCACTTTGCTCGGCTGGCGTTGCCACACAATATATGTATATATATACGTACAAAATGTAATCGTCCAGCATATCCATGGCCGCATCAAAGAGTGACAATGTTGTACGCTGCTGCGTCTTGGGTGGCAACGCCGGCGCCAGCTCCGGCGACGGGCAATTGCTGCCCAGCGTCAGCAACTGTTCACTGGCAATTGTTGTTGCCATTGCCGTTGTATTGCTGCCGCTGGTGGTGCTAATGTTGCCGTTGCTGCTGCTGATGTTGCTAATGTTGCTGATGTTGCTGCTGTTGCTGGTGATGTGACGTTGCATTGACTGCGTTTGGCTTAGCTGCTGATAATCGTTGTTGCTGCCGCTGTTGCTTGTCGTGGTGGCGCAGGTCAACTCGTTCATGCCGAAGGCGATCTCCGAATTGCTGCTCGATGACTTTGTCGAGGATTGCACACTGTGCTCCGAGGAGCGTTTCGAGACGCTCTGCGTGGAGGTACGAAATGACATCATCGACACAAAGCCTGCGGTTAAAAATAACAACAACTAAGTTAATCAATTGCCAAATAATGGGAACACAACAACAACAACAACAACAAAACACACATTTTATATATTATACAAATCGTGTAATACAACAGCAATGAGTATGAGAATGTATGCAAAACAATTTAAAGATCAAAGCGAATTCAAACACAAAAACAAGGCAAATAACAGTGCTCTAGCCGGCAGCAGCCGACTAGCAGATACCCTACAAAATGCACGACTCTATAAGAATGTGTTATATATTAGAGGAGGTTGCGTTTTCCAATGTGAAATATTCTATATCTCAATAGACCATACACTAGGTTTTTTATCAAAATCGATAATTATCGATACAATGGAAATGTTAGATTAAATGATTTACTTCCTTGTATGTGTATGTATACACGTTAATATATATTTTAAAATTTTAAGTCTCTAACTTTTGTACTTTCACACAGACAGACAGCTGCATAGACGGACATGGATCGATTTGGCTTGTCATCCTGATCAGGATAAGGTGCGTATACTTTATGGGCACACAGATACTAGCTTCAGTCATTTTTAGAAAATATTTATATCCTATTTCTCTATTTAATATGATCTACTATTTGAAGTGAGAATAAATGTCGAGCTTTAGCATAAAACTGGCATAAAATATTGAGATTTTCATTAAATCTTTGCTAATCTCAGACATTAAGATGTTTGGACAATTGTTTTTTTTTTTTTAAATGACAACAAAAGAAAAAAAGGCAAATTGAAGCTTTTGGGCACATCATTTTGCTGTTCATAGAATGTTAACTAGTCTAAGCACACAGGTGGGAGACAGTTAAAGCATTAGATATATAAGTAATTGCCTGGAATACCCGATTCATTCGAATGACGATTGCTGGTTAGCGCTGCGGCTGCTTTGCGCAGCTCCGTGTTGGCCTCAGCTGCGCCAGAGCCGGAGCCGGAGCCGGAGCCAGAGCCAGAGCTGGAGCCAAGACCAGAGGCAGAGGCAGAGCTGACACCCGGCAAAGGCGGCGTCATCTGAGCGCTGGACGCGGCAGCTGCCTCCTGTGACAGTGCAGCGCCAGGCTCAGCCGGAGCCTCTGCTGGCCGCAGGCGAGTTTGAGAGATTGAGTTATAGACGGAGCTGATGTTAGGAGCTATTGCTTGCGGGCACTCACTGTAGCTGATCAGTTTGTCCACGTCGTCGTCCAACTGATGGTGTAGCGTTCTAGATGGCGGCTTCTGTAGCTGTTCCTCCTCCTCGCGTGAATGATTCAGCGCCGAGTCGAACGAGCATTGGCTGTTCTCGTCTGGTGAGCGCGAACGCACCGAGAGGCTGCAAACGAACGAGTCGATAAGGAAATTAATCAGCGAGTATGTAAATCGAGCGATTTAATTAGCAAAGTGAGCGATTTCAACGAGTATATGTTTATGTAAATGGGCGAGTTGCGAGTAAGTGAGCGAGTATGCGATTGGAGCGAGTAAAATAGTGAGTGATTGAACGAATGATTAATTCGAGCGAGTAAAGCGAAAGTAAACAATTTGGACAGTGCTTGCAGCGATTATATGAGCGAGTAGATGATTTTTGGGCGAGTAAAATAGAGAGAAATGGAGCGAGTTAAACAGAAGTAAATAAGTAAGCGAGCGTTAGCAGCGTGAATCAAGCGAGTAAATAAATGATTAAATGAGCGAGCTAATAAACGAGCAATAGAATAACGAATAGAGAGTGACGAGAGAGTAAAATAATACATACTAAGCGAGTAAATAATTGAAAAATATAATTATATGGGCAAAAAACGATTCAGTTAGTCAAACGTGTAAATAATGAAAAATGAAGCGAGTTAGTAATATGGGCGAGTAAATAAATATTCAAATGAGCGAGTAAACGTGTTCAGCGAGTAACTAACCGATCTACGCCATAGTTAAGCAGCGAGAAATTCGAACTGCAATCCAGATCAGAGTTTAGACTGATATTATGCGATTGTGCATAGGGCAACGGGCTATTCGCCTGCGACGAGTGGCTGGTGGTGGTGGGGTTCGTATTGGTATTGGTGGATGCATTGGCATTCGCCAGCTGCGACTGCGGCTGACTGCGGCGCTTTGGTGGTAACGGCGGCGGATTGCTCGCCCGGTTGGGCAACGGCGGCTTTGGCGGCGGGCTCGTATCGCGCAGTATGCTCTCCGTGCTGTGCGAGCCGCGCATGGGATTCACATTGCTCTGCTCGAGTATGTCGCGCTCCTTGGGCGTTAGTGCAATATCGGGCAGCGAGGTGCGCTGTACCACCGCGGCCGCTGCCGCATCTGCAGGTGTGCGCAGCCCCGTCACGCTTCCCGCTGCGCTGGCGGCGGTCACCACGCCCATTATGTCGGCAGCGGCACCAATACCGCCCAAACCGGCGCCGCTATAACGAAACGTGCACTGATCCTGCTCCTTAAGCTTGCCCTGCGCCAGTGTGACCAGATTCTGCAAGTGCAATAATATGTGCTGTTAGTGTTTGACTATACCGTTAGCTCGAAGCCCGTTTCTCAGTGTCTCTAGACTTAAAGTTTTATCGCCTGGATAATGTGGTACCCCAATTACATTTAGGTTCCATAATGTTCCGCATATGCGCATTATATTATCAATTTCAGTTCAAATTGAAACATACAAGAAAATTGATTTCGTTAACAGTGTTGCCAATAAACATATTTAAGTCATTGTACACACTGGCCTACAGTGTTGGTCAAGGCTTAGAGACACTGAGAAAACGGTCTACTGCCTACACTGGGTTCACACTTACGCGCACTGCATCCTCAAGCAGATCGATTACCTCACGGACATTCTCGTTGCTGAGCGAGGCGCACTCGCCGCTCTTCTCGCTCAACATGACCTCGTCACAGAGCTTGATGAGCTTGCCCAGCGACTGGTAGACCTGCTGTGTGGCTGAGCTCATGATGGCACTGTTCTCGTTCAGCGTATACGACTGAATGACTGTAAAGAAAAGTAGATGAAGAAGAGGTTAGAGTTAGAGCATATTTGTGGATGAATCGATTGGATCATTTACCGGAATACATGCTGGCAATGGTCTCCAGTATGACGGTGCCATTGCCGGGCAGCACCTCCAGCTTCTTTTTGTGTATGACATCGCGAAAGTGTTTGAGCGCATTCGATATATCCTTGACGTGCGTCTCCAGCGTTTGCGTGGAACGCTGCACCTCCTCGGTGGTGGGCGGCGGCTTAGAGCCGTGCTTGCTGCGCGGACTGTGCGGCGAATGGGATCGGCCGAGCGTATTGTTTGTGGTGCGCATCAGTGAGATCTTCTCAATCAGATCGTCCTTAAAGGAGCGCGCACGTCGCGCCAACTTCGTGCCCTTCAGACTGTTCTTATGACCCGACGAGCCCGACGACGACGACGCACTGCTGCTTGGCGGCGCTGGCGGCACCCCACCTGTCCGCCCGCTCTGCTGTGGGGTCGTCGGCGGCGGCGCCTGCTGCGGCTGTTGATGCTGCTGCTGGTACTGCGTATGCTGCGGCGGGGGCGTTGACGATGTGCTGGATGTGTGGCCCGCGTAATTGGCGGCGGCGCCGCTGCTGTTGATGCTGTTGCTGCTGCTGCTGCTGCCGCAGCCGCCGACGCCGCCCGCCGAGCAGTTGCTGGGCGTGGATGGAGAACTGATGCTGCCGTCTATTTGAAGATAAAACATGGTGTTCAATAATCTTAATTAAATCGAATCAAGACCGAATGATCTGTATTTGCTCTATGGGATTATTCGACTGGACATGCATTTCATGGGCTCCAGCTCAACTATAGGCGACACACACACACACACACACACACACACACACACACACACGCGCGCGCTGTCATGAATCACAACTTAAGCGTGATTCAGTCGGATTATGCCTTGCGTATTAAGCACTTATCGAATAATAGGAATACGGTTCATGAGCCGCTTTTCGGTTCAAAACACGTTCTGCATTTGTATACCCTGTAAAAAATACATTCTGCATTTGTATACCCTGGAAAAGTTGGCTCACATATACAATATATATATATATACTTTTGGCAGATAACTGAGCGATTCAACTGGCAGATAAAGAAAGGTAACGTTAGATAGCCAAACGCTTCTATAGATATCAAAGCGTCAAGCGTGTCGCCTGGCAGTTACAAAAGCGATAAACAATATTACAAATATTAGCAGGCTATTAATCACAATCGTTAAGCATTTTCCGGGCAAAATCGATTGGTTTATCATGTGAAGAATTGTGTGTTATCGCCGTATTCGCGCATTGGAAGTGAAATAGGCGATATGAATGTGTTTGACTTTAGTTTTATACCCTTTCTCTTCCACAGACACATAAAGAAAAGACTTTATTGTTAGACACAAATATGATCTATTATTAGATCTGTTTACAGAGTATCTCAAAGTCGTGCACTCGCTTGCCTACATGATGTTGTAATCAATAATTTCAGCATGGGTTTAAGTAACGATAACTACACAATTTCCGAGTACAAAACGGTTTCAACTGATTCTATAAAAAACGCAAGCATTCACTTTTGATTTCCCGATATATATATATATATATATACAAATATATATATACATATATATATTCCTATAGTTGATTGAGGTTTTCCCATGCAGGAACTTTTAGCATTATTACTGAATGAATATTCCAATTTTTGTCTACTTTTGTTTTTTGACTTTTGCCAATATATATATACATATATATATATATATATAGAGATGAGCATGTGTTTGAAAACATTTCGGATATATAGACATGGATTTTGTGTATTTGGGAGACCTTCACGTGTCGCTTTTTAATATATTCACCAAAAAGTTCACATTTATCCGCACTCATTTGATGTGTTGTTTATTCAATGCTTGTTTTAAATCGCCAATAAAATGATAGAAATCAAATGAGAAATGTGCAAAGAGACAGAGTAAAATTGCGACTAGCTGCCTAAAGGCCAAACTTGAGATACCCTATGAAAATGTGTACACATTTTTTACTAGCGATAACAATTGCTGTTAGGCTTTTGGCTGCTCAAATATATTCAAATTTTTGGAGTTTCAGTTATAATTTAAAGCGTTATCGATAAATATCGATAGGCATTGGGTTGTCTACATAGAATTTTAATCGATTTACAAGTAAATAAACCTCACGTTGCTTAATACATTCAAAGGATCATTCGATACTTTTATCGATAAACCACACAATCGATTATTCCAAAGCCAACAACAGGGACAGTTGTTTGGCTAAGGATATTCAGCTACTAAAGAGCTAAAGATGTTTCTATTAAACAGTTAGGAAGTTGAATGTGGGTAACTATCGATAGAAATTATCGATAACAGTTATCATAGACTGGCATAGGCTGAGCTCGTTCAATACCCTCAACGATTAACAAGTCGAAACATAATATCGATAACATTTCTGAAAGAGTGACTTAACATAGTTTTCTCCAGCATTTGCTTGTTTTTGTATGAGCAATCGATAACCAATATAATCATCGATTCATTAATCTATATACTCTATCAGATATCCGTTTATAAACAGGTGCTTCAGCAACTGAGCGTATTTCAATCGATAGCGAATATGGTCACTGATTCACTAATCGATAAAGACTATCGATAACACTGCCTAAGGAGTGACAGCACAATTCGTTTCGTCAGCATTTATTCGTATTTTCTTAGCTTCAAATAACATTTCGATAGAAAGACTTCTCATCGATTCCTAAATCGATAGACCCTATCGATAACACAGCTTAACGAGTGAAGTGACTTAGCACAGTTCGTTGTCTCAGCACATCGTTATGCCTAATGCAATCGATAGCGAATATGCTCTATCTCGCAAGGCATACGGCACATGTGCGCCGCTCTTTTGCTGATTTGCATGATGAACGATGGGCAAGCAGCACACGGCAAACGAGCAAATGCCGAACGGTAAACGATCCATAGACGCCCACCCAATACCAGACCAACAAAAAGAAAAGCCACAAAACACGCTGATGGAGGGTGTGTGTGTCTGTGTGTGTGTGTGTGTGTGTGTGTGTGTATAGTGTAGCTTTCACTTACAGAGCAACACATTCTTGACCAGCAAACACGATGCTGGCGGTGTCAATGTTGTGCATAAAGACGATGTTGTTGTTGCTGCTGCTGATAAAGCCAAACGTGGCAATTTTTTATATTCGCGCCGTCTGTGGAATTTGATGTCATGCAGCGTGGCTTTGTTGCTGTTGCTGCTGCTGCTGCTGCTGCAGCTGTTGTTGTTGTTGTTGTTATCGCGCATGGACCACAGTGCGCGCTGCTGTTGTTGTTGTTGTTGCTGTGGCTGTGGCTCATCTTGCACGGGCTGCTTCACCGTATACGAATAGAAACGCCAGCGTTCGGCCAGCGCACAGTCGCTCAGAAAAGACTCGTCAAATTGCGGCATTTTGCGATTGCATAACAACAACAACTACAACAACAACAGCAGCAGCAGCAGCAGCAGCAACAACAATATTTATAGAAAATTTAATGTTAGTCTTGCATTCAATTCACAGCACTTGACTAAAGTAACTTTTACAATTTATTTATTTATATTTTTTATTGTTGTTTGCCTTTTGGCAGTTTTCAATAGCAATTGTCGCCGCTTGTTGTTTGGCCAATTAAAATAAATCACAAATATACTAATATTATATGTATATTTAGACACAAGACGCGGCCGCCAGCTGCTGTCGTCAGCGTTGTCGTCTGGAAAGCGCACTGAACTATGAAAATCCGCAAACGGCAAACGGCAAAACGGCAATCGCCAGCAGCCAGCAGCCAGTCGCCAGGTCCGCTAACCAGCCATTAAGCAGCAACAACAACAACAACAACAAGAAGAAGAACAACAACAACAACAGCAGCAGCAGCAACAACAACAACAACAGCAGCAACAATAACAGCGCGTCGTAGAGAGCAGCATATAGCAGCGCATCAAATGGCACTCGCTCCCAACAACTCGGCTTGAGACTTGCTCATGCAACAACAACAACAACAACAACAACAACATTCACAACAACAACAACAACATTCACACTCGCCCAACATTCACTGATAGACAAACAACATTGTGGCTCTCGCATCCATTTTGCTCTCTGTTATCATTTGAGTCTCAGCTCTCTCTCTCTCTCTCTCTCTCTCGCTCTCTTTCTTTATCGCAGTCATTATTGTAGATATTGGGTATGCTTGCTTCACATACCCTATTAACAACAAAATCAACTAAATTAGGCTTATATCATAAATTTGCACAATAAGTATTATCATAAGTTTTTCATTTGATTTCAATATGGCAACTTTTTAATGCTTATACTATATGCTTGAAGCGTAGACATAATTGTTTTATTAACAATTTGATAAGAACATAAATTTGAATCAAAAATGTAGGTTCAGGAACTTAACGTACCGAACTTAAAGGCAAGTCGTTGGTTCGAACCGTGAACGGAACCATTAACTTTTCTTTTTGTGTTTGCAGCCCTGATTGAAATAATACACCAGATACAGGGTATTTGCTAGTCGTGCACACTCAACAAGCGCCTTTTTACACTTTATTTAAATTGTATTTCATTTTATTTTATTTTTTCTTTCTCTGGCCCTGAGGCCCGGCAATGCTGGGGATTTTTTTTTTCGGCAATTTTCAAGTGGCGCGCGATGATCGTGACTTGCCTTGAAATGAGTTTGTGGAAGCTGAAGTTGAAGGCGCCCAGTCAATAGACCAAATGAACGAAGAAGAAAAACAGTACAAACAAAGAAGAAAAAGAAAAAACAGTTAACAAGCATACGCCCTAAAAATCTCTGCTCAAATTGAAGAAACCCAAAGTCGGGTAAACTAATCAATCTAATTAGTAAAAAACAATTGCAATTTCTTCAATATTTTGGAATGGTCAAGAGCTGAACAAATACGCTAGAGATCTACATATATAAGAAAGAGAACAGGACAAAATAATAATAAGAAATGTATACGCCATGGAAATTGCATGGGAATTTTCGAAATAGACATTGATATTGAAATAGTAATAATAATAATAATCCATCTGCGAACCTTTAGAAGTAAATATGTTAAAATTGCTTTTCGCTGAAAGCATATCTAATATCGTATCACTATATCATTTACAATATTATTATATATTATATAGTAGAATAATCTCATGTTTATCTCAAGATGCCTCAAAATGGCGCCCCATCGAAATACCCCAAGATCATCGGTCATCTGTCAAATGTGCGAAAAACTATATAAATCTGGCATTTCGTATGTTAAGACTTTGCAATAGATTGCATTCCCAGAAAGTTGTCAGTTCTTACAAAACTTTTGAACATTTCGCAACACTGTTTCAACAACAAACAAGAATCGGATTATAGCTAACGTTCATCTAAAATAATACATATACATATGTGTGGAGGGGGATGGGTGGGGGTAACCAGAAACGTTTGGCATCAATTCGAGACTTTGAAAATTGGATCAGCGACAAACGGCGACGGGTTCGACCAGTCGAATTGGCATTAAACAGGTGCGATTACGGATTCTAGTTTTGGCACAATTGGGCACACCCGACGCTCATCATGAAGCTGAGATGATCATCATTGAACAATCTGGTTGCAGCTGTTGCCGTTGCCGCTGCCGCTGCTGTTTGTCTATGCTAAATCTCAGAGGCTTCAAGTTGACCAATATTTGCAAATGGCCTCTAGCTGAAGTGGACAACAACCAAGTCGACCGACTGACCGAACAGTTAAGCTTCAACCAGTTTGCGATGAGCAATCGACTTGGCAGCGACAGAGAGAGAGAGAGACAGAGAGAGCAAATGAAAACAAAACAATCGGGAAGAGAGTAAAAGAGAGGAGAGCGCGACAGAGGGCGAGCGCAGCCAAAAACAAAACTAAAATGGTCATATCTCGGCCAAATAAAGCCCGATAGGGGCCAAAAAGGGAGGGGCTAGTCGGGAAGGTCCTTAGAATACGCCAAGATCGACGGCGAAGTTATGTCGCTTTGAAACGTCATATCTCCATGATTTTTTTACGCCCGTTGCACGCGAATTACGTGGCATAAAACGTAACGACATCCAACTACATCACAAACATGACATAATCTCTGCTGTTGACGAGCCAACGCCAAAAACAACAACAAAACTCAAAAAAAAAACTCAAAAAAAACTGCAAACAATACGTTAAAAATTTGTCATAAGCAGAAAAAGAAAATGAAATAAAATAAAATGAAGAGCACAAAAAGAAAAACTGAAACAACTTTTGACTTGGGTCGACACAGTTCATTGATCATGACACGTTCTCATGCCGCACACACACACACACACACACGCACACATGCGCGCGCGCACATGCATGTACATATGCACAAACACATGGGCTTAGCATGCTGTTTAGGGCTAAATTTGACCCACACACACTCACACACATGCATACATTCGGCATGACGTCATCGCAGGTGCGGTCATCGTGCAGGCATTCAATTCAATCAATTGCCCCCTCTCCCCTCACCTACACCCACACACTGACTACATGCATGCACAGACATACATACATGCATGCATGCACATACATACATACATGCATGCATGCATGCACATATATGTATATTTATATAGGAATGCGCACATTGCATTCATTAAACAAACCAATTTTTGTTTATTCGTGAATTTAGCAAATATACTTATTCATACATCAAATACGAGTGTTTCAGCGCTTCTTCTTGCACTTTAGTTCGATTCGTCACAAATTCGCAACAACAATAAGAAGAAGAAGAAGTGGGAAAAAAAACAACAATGTTTTCAATTCTTATGGGTTTTCTTCTTCTACGCCTTGTCATTCACTGCGCAACGATAACGGTAAAAAAAAAACACACGACTTTTTGTTTTCACTTGCATTTTGCGTTTGCTTTTATTTGGGGAAATTTTTGATTTTTTTTTTTTTTGGGTTTTTTCTTCTTTTTTTTTTTTTAGCTTATTTCAATCGTAACGCTGTGTTTGCCGGGCAACGGTTAGATAACTTTTGAGCACAGCGCCTCATAATTAATAATGCGCGAACAACAGAAACAAAAACAAACACGAAACCAACAAATGCGAGTGAAATAATCAAAAAAAAAAAAACAACAACAACAATAGCAGGAAGAAGCAGAAGAAAAGAACTCGGTACGCAAACGAAAACGAAACGAAACGACATTCAGAGCCTAGCCAAGAGAGGCTATAGGCTATATAGGAGATATAATACACACACACACACACACACAGACACACACACACACAAAAACCGAAGCTAGTAACAAGCCCAGTCCTGCTTGATCGACTTGCAGATGCCCTATAAACAGCTAGCACACATTCGTGCTACAAAAACTGTTTTTCTTTTAACAATTTATCGATTTTCAATATTTGGCATAGCAGAAAAGTGAAGAATTTACAATCTTTAACTGAGTATCTTTAGATTCCAAAATCTCAGAGATGTGCTAAAGAAAAAGAAAGAACTAGACGTGGTTATCGATTTACAGCGATTTTGCTGCCAAAGTTATCGATAGCTGTAAATAAATTTTATCTAAGCATGACATAAGAAACCGCTCGTGAAAATCAATATATATATCGATAAGTGATACGAGTTATCAATGGCCCGATATAGATATATCGATAAGTGCTAAACGGACAGAGTTTTTAATGGCCCGATATAGATATATCGATAAGTGCTAAACGGAGACATTTATCAATGGGCCGATAAAGATATATCGATAAGTACTAAACGGAGAGAGTTATCAATGGACCGATATTTATCTGAGCTAGGAATTGGTATATCGAAATCGTCAATGTCTCCAACTGTCTGGCACAAGGCCAATATGCTCCTGCCCAGTCATGCTCATTGGCAGCAGGGTATAAAGAGAGGCCTACAGAGAATTGAATGACTGGCCGAGTTTAAGTGCGTGTGTATCTCTTGACGGGTTGCACGTCACCCACAACAACAAAAACAACAACAACAACTGGAACTACAAACAAGACAAGAGCTGTGACGTCGTTGCTTGAGCTATGTTGTATATTACGATTGCGAGCGTCATCAATTTAAACAGACGAGCAAAACTAAAACCAAATACCAAAAACACCCACGCACCCAAGCCGCGACGCGGCTTTATATCTTATCAGGTGCTGCACCGTGGTCCGAAGCTTATTTGCATGTGCTCAAATAGTTAGTTAGTTGGAAAGTTGGTTGGTTTTTAATCACATTTGGCAAGTTGGTCGAGCAAAGAAGTCATATTTTGTGTTAACGTAAGCCTGTTCATAAATCGAACTAGTTCGCAACAGTTGAACCGAATTTAGCCCACAAGTTCCATATGAAAATATCTATCAAATTAAATTGTTTTATTTGGGTTTTGGGAATAGATAAAACCAAACTATATTGTATATTTATAGCCTGTGTTTCGAGCCTAGTTTAACATTTATC